GCGGGAGAAATATGACCCCGGGAGGAAATCGGGAGAGGGCAATGAAATCGGGAGTCTCCCGCGAAAATCGGGAGGGTTGACAAGTATGAGTTGCAGTAGAAAATTCAACTGTAGCGCTGGTGCATTAATGGGAAACCCTTAAAGTTTGAGCACCCTCTATGAAACGTCAAGCTACCCCACAGCACCCCCTAGAGAAAATCTCTGGCGCCGCCACTGGCTGAAAAGGCTGAATATTTTTGATATTTGAATGGTTTCTGAAGCTGAAAGTAGGCTGAAGTTGTCGGACGGCAAAATATTGGTTGAAATAATAATAATAAGAAGAGATAGCACAGCATTCGCACTAAATATGCTGTGAAAGGCAGATTTTCCTATGAATAAAATCGTTAAGGCCTAGATGACACATTTTCGAAACTCAGAGGAAGTTACTCATTACAAAAATCAGCCTAACTAGATATTGTAAGGGAATACATTTTAAAGTAACCCTCCCAACCCTGGATTTGTGTAACCATTGATTCTTTATCTTTTATTAATATGTTGTATTTGAGAGGGAACCGAACAGGTGATTGAGTAATACGGTTGGTGTTTTCAGGAATGAGATTTTGGAAACGCAGCACTTGAAGGCAGCACCATGCGCTCACCAGCTGTCCAATGAGAATCGGCGATCCTGGAGCGCGTGTGTGTTGCTCGTGGGGGTTGAAGCGAAGACGCGTGAGCGAGGCGACCAGCTTGAATTCCGCTCAGCTATAGGTAAGAGAGACATAACAGCTAGTAGGCACAGTTGAATTACTACGACCATTTGCTACCGTTTTAGGGTACTTATCCGTTACGATTTTACTGACTGATGTGACAGGCCACTGGTGAACTATTTCCAAGACACTTTGCGCCGACTGTTGCTTTTATTAACCCGGGAGCTAAAGGTAGCTTAGCATTAGCTTGTCAATGCGGGTAGCATAATGCTAGTAGCTACACCGTTAACGGACCGTTTTATCTACATAATGGAAAGGCAACCCGTCGTTGCTTCAACAACTCACTAGCATACATGATCGTTATTGTGTTGTTCGAATGGGCGGTAGAGGGATATTGTAAATGGTCAACCTTCGTACTTGCTGATAGCTAAAGCATTGTTCATAGCACGTTGATTCGTAGTTTCATGCAAGCTAGGTTAGCTGCTGTCAGATATTTGTCACCGCCCATACTGGGTATTTATTTCCATGTGCTCGTTGATAAGCCGATGTAAGAGTGTAGGTGATATTGATATACTTGTATCAGTTGTCCTATGTGACTGTCAAAGGCAGCGATAGTTATTTTATATGATAGTAAGTAGTGAGATGCTAACTTTAGTTATAGCCTAGCCAATGTTCTATTAGCATGGCAATGCGTCATCGGCCTGCGCTTGCTCAACACCAGTGTTACTGTTGATGAGTCGAAGTTAGCTCAGCTGTCTGTCTGCGGCCAGGACTTCAAGCTGACGCAGATTTAGGTTGTACTGCTGGTGAAATCAGCAGGGTGTTCAAAACCGATGGTTTCTTGGTAATGTTAAGGTTTTTAAATCAAAACGAGTTACACGGTTATTTTTGTTATAACTTACTCTGATGCCCATGTCGGTAGTTGCTCAATCACGGTCTCTGACTCATAACGATTACATGTCTGATAAAACTGTTCTGTTTTTATTAGAGGGAGGAGCTGCCACTTGGAAATGGAAGCCAATAAAGGTAAAGACTGACATATTTAACCTAACCTAACTTACCTTAACTTCACCTTAGATAGTGAGTGTGAGCAAAGTTGGGTAAACTGTTTTTATTCAGAATGTATCATTAATATATATATATATGCGTGTGTGTATGTATATGTAAAAAATAGTAAAATATCTAGTGAAACTTAAAAATGATCATGTTCAAACGACAACTGTGATGGTATTAACAAAAACACAAAACAGCAAGATTGACAAAGTATGTGATATATGTCACACTTATTTAAGGAGAAATGTATGTAATTGACCTGCTAAAATGTCTGTTTTGGTTTGGCAGGTAAAGGGGAACAAGGGATGCAAATTCCTGGTGGACAGATGGACAGACCTGTCAGCTTCCACTTCATGGAAAGGCAAGTGCAGTTGTGTTATACTTTGTTACTAAGTTAAAATGAATATATATCTCCCTGGTTACCACATGCCAATGTTCTGATCAGTTTCCAGACTTGGCCATTTTTAGAAAAAACATTTATGTTGATATTATTTATTTTTTGCCACTGCACACATAACTGATAATTGAAAATGTGTTTGGTCCCAATTGGCAGTTGAATATTGATGTTAATTGCCACTTGCCATTATGGCACAAAAATATAAATATATATGTTTTAGCCCCAAAATATAGCAGATAGAGTAACTTCCTCATGACTTTAAACATGCTATTGTATTACACAAGGGTGTAATTTTGTGAGCTACTTGTGAACCGTTTGTTATTGTAAACATTCAGGAGTGTAACTGTGATATCGTCTGGTGGTTTCTTTGTGAACCTTTTGGGAGTACTCAAATCCGATGTATGCAATATCACATCTACAGTTATCTAGTTGAGGTTGAACACATTAAACTATTCAGTCATGCATTTCATGGACAAAACTTTGGGTTAACGGTTTCACCTCTTAAACATAAATCTTAATATCTTTCTTTCTACTTTTAAATTATATTAATCTATTCTCATGTTTTTCTTCTCTCATAGCATGCTTCCCAAAGTAGTGAAGAGGCGAGTGCATGCCTTGAAAAGGCTACAAGTGCAGTGTGCTCACATAGAGGCTAAATTCTACGAGGAAGTCCATGAGCTAGAGAGGAAGTATGCTGCCCTCTATCAGCCAATGTTTGAAAAGGTACAATAAATAATTTTTTTTATATAACGGATCATTTTCTTTAATTTACCTCTTTTGACTGTAACAGTAGATGTATGCAAGTGTTTTGTGTTACAAACACAAAAAGCGCTAGGTAAGAAATGCAACAGATGAGGTCTCTTATTTTGAAAAGGATTCAACTTTTGTTGTTACGCGCACTAATGGGTGGTAAAGTGTCTTTCTGGTCCGATCTGAGATCAGCCAGGATGCATCCTTGGTGCTAAATCAAAAACTGCCACAACGAGTAGTCAACTGTTCTTTTGTCAGTCAAGGCTATTTCCAGAGCTAGTGACAAGAACCCAGCCATAGTCGCACTGAGACTGACAGCTGTAGTCCGGCTGCAGCTGTCTGCAATGTGTGTACTCTGTGTATGTACAGTGGGGCAAAAAAGTATTTAGTCAGCCACGAATTGTGCAAGTTCTCCCACTTAAAAAGATGAGAGGCCTCTAATTTTCATCCTAGGTATACCTCAACTATGAGAGACAAAATGAGAAAGAAAAAATCCAGAAAATCACATTGTCTGATTTTTAAAGAATTTATTTGCAAATTATGGTGGAAAATAAGTATTTGGTCAATAACAAAAGTTCATCTCAATACTTTGTTATATACCCTTTGTTGGCAATAATAGAGGTCAAACGTTTTCTGTAAGTCTTCACAAGGTTTTCACACACTGTTGCTGGTATTTTGGCCCATTCCTCCATGCAGATCTCCTCTAGAGCAGTGATGTTTTGGGGCTGTCGCTGGGCAACACAGACTTTCAACTCCCTCCAAAGATTTTCTATGGGGTTGAGATCTGGAGACTGGCTAGGCCACTCCAGGACCTTGAAGCCACTCCTTCGTTGCCCGGGCGGTGTGCTTGGGATCATTGTCATGCTGAAAGACCCAGCCACGTTTCATCTTCAATGCCCTTGCTGATGGAAGGAGGTTGTCACTCAAAATGTCACGATACATGGCCCCATTCATTCTTTCCTTTACACGGATCAGTCGTCCTGGTCCCTTTGCAGAAAAACCTCCCCAAAGCATGATGTTTCCACCCCCATGTTTCACAGTAGGTATGGTGTTCTTTGGATGCAACTCGGCACTCTTTCTCCTCCAAACACGTCTAGTTGAGTTTTTACCAAAAAGTTGTATTTTAGTTTCATCTGATCATATGACATTCTCCCAATCCTCTTCTGGATCATCTAAATGCTCTCTAGTAAACTTCAGACGGGCCTGGACATGTACTGGCTTAAGCAGGGGGACACGTCTGGCACTGCAGGAGTTGAGTCCCTGACGGCGTAGTGTGTTACTGATGGTAGACTTTGTTACTTTGGTCCCAGCTCTCTGCAGGTCATTGACTAGGTCCCCCCGTGTGGTTCTGGGATTTTTGCTCACCGTTCTTGTGATCATTTTGACCCCACGGGGTGAGATCTTGCGTTGAGCCCCAGATCGAGGGAGATTATCAGTGGTCTTGTATGTCTTCCATTTTCTAATAATTGCTCCCACAGTTGATTTCTTCACACCAAGCTGCTTACCTATTGCAGATTCAGTCTTCCCAGCCTGGTGCAGGTCTACAATTTTGTTTCTGGTGTCCTTTGACAGCTCTTTGGTCTTGGCCATCGTGGAGTTTGGAGTGTGACTGTTTGAGGTTGTGGACAGGTGTCTTTTATACTAGATAACGAGTTCAAACAGGTGCCATTAATACAGTTAACAAGTGGAGGACAGAGGAGGCTCTTAAAGAAGAAGTCACAGGTCTGTGAGAGCAGGAAATCTTGTTTAGTTGTAGGTGACCAAATACTTATTTTCCACCATAATTTGACAAATAAATTCTTTAAAAATCAGACAATGTGATTTTCTGGATTTTTTTTTTTCTCATTTTGTTTCTCATAGTTGAGGTATAACTAGGATGAAAATTACAGGCCTCTCATCTTTTTAAGTGGGAGAACTTGCACAATTGGTGGCTGACTAAATACTTTTTTGCCCG